GAGTCCATTCTGACCCACAGCGCCCCTAGAGGACAGAGTGGAACTGCCCACAGGTCTCCAGGGCTCTCAGCCGTGAAAGGACCACACTGCCTCATCTTTCTCCCACAGAGGAGCTAGTAGGCTCAGATCACCTGCCTTTTGGTTAGTAGCCTAGTATTCTGGCACCGTTCCTCCCGAGCTCCTTAGGTGGAATGGTGGGAAGGTATTATTTATGTTTTGAACTGTGCCTCTGTTTCTCATTTTCCTCAGGAGCTTGATCTTCCCATTTCTGATTCGAAGCGGTACACCAATGCCATCCTACACGTGTGCATTGGCCTTCGTTTTCTGCGCCTGTAACGGCTACCTGCAAAGCAGGTACCTGAGCCGGTATGCGGAGTATGCTGAAGACTGGGTGACCGACCCGCGCTTCCTGACCGGTGAGTGGTGGCTCCGGGCCCTGGCTCACAGACCTGTCTTGTACTTTCATGCTGTAGTCATTTGCCTTAGAAAGCCCAGGTCCCAGAGACAGTGGAGTGGCTGGCCGGGATGGCCAGGAAGCAGCCAGGAGGACAGCTGCAGGACTGAGCAGTGCGAGCCCCAGGCCTTCCGCTGTCCCCCACTGTCCCATGAAGCGCGGGCACAGGGAGGGCACACAGGTGCGCCTCTAGCTGCTGGCACGGAACTGTGGATTTCTGTACTGTAACGCAGACATAAAGGTAGCCGCACATTGCAGGGTGGAGCAGGGGCTGGCTGAGGAGACCGTCCTAACCTGCTGGCCACCCGAGGCTGTCCCCCACTGTTTCTTCTGCTACATCAGGATGTAGGGCCAAATTACCCCCGACAGTGCACTTAAGCTTTTACGATTTACTGATCTGGGTAAACCTGTAAGTTTGTGAAGCCCTTGAAATTTCTGATGTGCACCAGCTAATGTAAATTCATGTATGTTTTCAAGTTCTGATTACAACCTCATTGAGGGGTGGTGGTTCAGTGGCCGAAGTCTCTTCTTCTTGAGGGAGATCCAGGTTCAATTCCCAGCCAGTGCTCCTCACATGCAACCACCCGCATCTGTCAATGGAGGCTGGCGTGTTGCCATGACGCCGGACGGGTTTCAGTGGAGCTTCCAGACTGAGGCGCATGAGGAAGAAAGGCGTGGCGGTGCTCAGAAAGCCAGTCAGTGCAAGGCCTGTGGCTCACAGTGGTCCCATCCGAAACATCCTGGGGAC